ATTCCTTTGGATTTTAAAGAAAAAATATCCCCCCTTCAACCTTTTTCCCCCCAGAAAAAAAAAAAAAAAAAAAAAAATAGTGTGCTACCCTGGATCCCTGCCACTTCTTTAAGGAATATCTAATGACTGACAATGCCAGATTATGCAGAAATGTCCAGAACAATGGGAATGGATGGCTACTGTCCATCCATTGACAGCATCAGTGTGATTTGCATCCTACATCCTGCCTAAGCCAGATTTTGCTGGATTTCAGATACTCACTTCAATTAGATGAAAGAACAGCTAGAAAAAGCTACTCAAGATTTTCCACCAGATAAGGCCTAAGTGGCTTAGATGCAGATCTTACTATCAAGACTCCCCAAAAAGGGGAGAAAGTTCCAAACTCCACTAATACTAGAAGGTACCTGGTGGCTTGCTGAGAGAGAGAAGTAACATCATGCTGTTTAAAATGTCATCCAGAACGTGCTTGGGTTTTGGTTTTTTGTATGAAGTAATTTTTTCAAAACATTTGGTACTGGTTCTATTACAGGTTTCAAGCGTTTAGGGTTAAGAAAGAAACTGAGATTGTGGCAGTCCCACTGGATGCAGAAAGGAAGTTTCACACAGATAATAATACAGTCTTAGCAGAGGCTTGACAATAATGCTCAATGTTTCAGTCTGATTGTTAAGCTTGCTTCTTCCAGCATGAGTGCTGTCTGTCATTTAATTGACACAACAGTGTTTACTGAAAGTTATTAACCACTGGAACAACCTACACATGGAACTGGCAGATTTGCCATCACTGGAATTCCTTACAATTTATATATGCTCTTACTCAAGTAGCTTATTGACCAGATGCAAGAATCAGTAAGTGAAGTTTCATAGCCTGTGACATGCAGGAGGTCTGACTAAAAGATTGTAACAGTCTTTTCTTGTCCAAAACATCTCTAAATCTACACGATCTTAAAGTAATCTGCCAGTCACTAACCGTATTTCAGAAACTAAACCTTAACAGGTATCTCTCGATAGTTTGGAAAACATGCACTGTGACTAGGTTAAAACCGAGTCTTCCCAGCTAAATTATTTTGCTACTGGTTTTCTTAACAGCATCTTCCTATCTTAAAACTGGCTTACACAAGATTTCTTACTGATTTTGAGCTTATAACACTGATGGATGAACAGAGAGGTGCTTTGCTTTCAGGCTTTGTAATTTTTTAATAGAAAAAGGGCAGAAAGAAAGATATCCGAAAGGAAAAATGTGCATAGAAAAAAAGAGTCAAGTGGTCTTCTGAGAAGACAGAGACTGAAAAACATGGTATATAAATTGCTGCCACCTGTCGACTGGCAGCATCCACTTGGAACTATCACAAGATAATGCCAGCTACTTAGAAACATCTCCCATGCTGCAAAGCCGGTAAAGACAGTATATTACAGACTGCCGCACACATGTTGCTTATCACAGTAACATGAGAAGCCCCACAGATAGTCAACAGCACTGCCTAAACAAAGATGTCCAAGTTTGGTGTTTCACTGGAATCAAACAATTTGGCAAAACCACAGAAGCACGTCAGTTGTGGCAAAGAAAATGCCTCACAGAAATGAGATATGGGTTTGTTTGTGTTTTTACACTCTCCTGTGTGTTGCTTAACAAGCCCAAGTGATCAGTTGCTGGCAAGCCTGCCCTTCTGGGATCCCAAGTCCTATGTTCACCAGTTATTCAGACCATCTTAGAACTCGTCCATGGCACTTCCAGGTTGCAGAGCACTCTGGACAATCAGAGGTTGCTTTGCAACATTTCAGGGAAACTCTGGGAGTTTTGGTTTTCAACCCTAGCCACAGTAAAACCAAACACTGCCAAGCCAATGTATTTATTTACAAATGTAGAACATTGCTTTCCTCTGCCTACCTCTTATGGTGAAACATAACTAAAGTGGCTATGTAGCTATTCCACAATTATGTACTTACATCATCCAGTGTACCAGTTATTTCCCATGCTGGTTTTGCTGCTAGGTGTGTCAGTGCAGCTATATTGCTGTAACTCACATATGCCTGAAACGTAAGATAAATTTCTGAAAATGAAGGGGTAAAGGTACATTTCACTAAACATTCCAGAACTTAGATGTTTTTTCTATCATTACCCCTCACTTGCAAACAAATGTGTATTTTCCCGTACATGTTTTCTTTCCAGAAAACACAGTCCAGTAGTTTCTGAATTAAATACTTTCAATAGCTAGATTACATGCTCACATGGCTGTTGGCAAAACAACCCTAATTAAACAACAACAAAACACTACTTTGGGCTTCTCCAATTATAAAGCAGTGCAGAAAAACTGTGACCACCAGAAAGATAATACAGGTAACCTCTCAGACCACTAAATTAATGGTTTTCTCCATCTTCCTCCTAAGTAATTAAAATCTACTAGAAAATTAACCTCTTCATTGCTATCAAGCTGTAGTCTATTTTGGCAGTTGCTTTACACTGCAGGCTCAGAGCAGAGAAAGTGCAAATATATCCATTATTTATGCTTGACTACAGTGGATGGAGTTCTCATTTAACCACTGTATAAAGAGAATACAGTTTTAGAGTCTTTAATGACAGGTTTTAATTCAATATTAAATAAATCTTAAGTAAGCCATTTTTATCTTTGTGTGCATACTTATATTTATTGCTTTGCAGAAAAGAAATGCTGCCTCAGACAGTGGAGATGCCACTGTTAACAGCAAAGCACTTCCTGCATTATAATTCTCAATTTTTTATTTTTTCATGTAATGGAAAAATATCCAGTAAAATTTCTGGGAGCCACTGAGATCTTAAATGCAATGAAAATTTAACCACAAAAATTCGACACTGAAGCAACATTTAGGGTGTCTATAAATCTGTCTAAATTCAGGTTCATCACTATTCATTTCATGACACAGGAACATTGTATGGCCTAGCATGTCCAAGCTAGAAACACGTACCACTTGATGCAGAGTATCTAGGAATGAACATACATTTTCACCTCTCTTTCCCACAGAAACAAAGTTTATGCTATTTCACTGTTCCTCTGTCTGTTGGTATTGCCATGTCTCTCCCCCCACTTTTAGCGTTTACTAAATGGTCTCCTCACAGCAATTTTTGAGAAAGTCAGTGGCTGGATAAAGCAAAAAACCCCCAAAACTAATTCCTCTACAGAGTTCAGCTTTTTAAAAGCTGGGGACACTGGGATATACATCTGCAGGAAACCTTACAGCTCGGCTGCTTAAGAGATGACTTGTTAGAAGAGTCTATCTTAAAGATATTTTTTATGTTTTGTATGAAACTTACTCTTAAATCAATAGTGAAGCATCTACTCTCTTTTTTCAGAAGAAAAAAAATGTTCATCTTATTACATATTTATCCATTCTTCCGTGACTATCATAACGCTTAAGTACAGAAGGTCTGCTTTGGAAACTGTGTTGGTTTGTTTTTTTTTTTTTTTTTAATTAAGTCTGAAGCGCAAAGTATATCAAAAGACTACTGTGGGTTTGCT